CTGGGGGCAGGGGGTTGGAGGAACTCACGGGCTAGTGGAAAAGCCACTTGTAGCTCTAACAAAAGCTACTTGGGCATGGATTAGGCCCTGGTGCCTCTCTTGATGTCCCTGGGAATGACAGATGAGCACGGTTCATTCTCCTGGTAACATGGATGGCTCAGGGCAGGGTGGGGGAGGACTGTATTCTTTCCCCTCCCTCCTAGATTGGGGGAGGGATTAGTTGTCAGAGTCTATGTGGCCAGATCCTGGCCCCGTGGGGTTAGGTTTGGTACAGGCCGGTTCAGAAAGACAAAGCGATAGGGGCTCTAACAATGACATGTGACAGATTGGGGAGGGGAAGGAGGGACCAATTGCTCTATGCAGCCACACATCTGCAGCATCAGCGGCTAATCCAACAAGATGACGGCCACCGAGCTTCTGGGTCCTTTGTTTATCAAGGGATGAGCCTTCACGTGGGGACTTTGCCAGCCATGTTTTCCAGGCAGCTTCATGTACTCCCTGTAGCTTGCCCTTTCTTCCTTCTCTCCCTCCTTCTATCCACCTGTGTGAGTCAGCTTTCTCATCACCGTGACAAACAACACGAGAAAGGATTAGAGCCAGGCACCCAGGGCTCACGCCTGTCATCCTAGTTATGCAGGAGGCTGCTGAGATCTGAGGACCATGGTTCAAAGCCAGCCTAATCAGGAAAGTCTGTGAGACTCATCTCTCCAATGAACTACCAAAAAACTGGAAGCGGAGCTATGGCTCAAATCAGAGGGCTAGCCTTGTCCAAAAATCTCAGGAAAAGAGTCTAGGCCCTGAGTTCAAGCCTCAGGACTGCCACAGACAGACAGACAGACACAGACAGCAAGGATTCATTTGGACTCATGGTTGCAGAGCTTTTAGTGCATAATAGCTTGCTTCCCATTGAGTGTGGGCAAAAGGAACATCATGTTGGCAGGTGCCATCATAAGACACTGTTGACTTCATGATGGACAGGAAGGAGAAGAACAGATAGACAGACAGACAAGTAGGCAGGTAGGGCAGGGGCAAGAGGCAATGACCCAGCTCTAGTCACCAACTTTCTCCATCTTAAAGTTTCTAGGACCTTCCAAAGTCGTGTCACCAGCTGGGGACCCAGCTGCCATTCAGGATAATTTATATTTAAACCATAACACAGTCCCTTATCAAAGACCCACCCGAGATCACACTGGCTCCCCTGATGTCTGGCTGAGGGAGCTGATAAGTTTGTGGGGAGTAAGCCAATCTCACGGCTAGGGTCTTGCTGGTGATATCCATGAGATGTGTGGGTAGACACTCACCAGCACTTGAGCAGACATGAGTGATAGAAGTGAATTTCTACCACATTTGTGTGTGTGTGTGTGTGTGTGCACGCACATGTACTGATGCTTGAACTCAGAGCCTGAGTGCTCTCCTTTAGCTTTTTCACTCAATACCAGTGACTCTACCACTTAAGCCACAGTTCCATCTCCAAGCTTTTTTTTTTGCTGGTTCATTGGAGATAAGAATCTCACAGAGGGCTGGGAAGGTGGCTCAGTGGTAGAGTGCTTGCCTTGCATACATGAGGCCCTGGGTTCAATTCCTTAGTACCACATAAGCAAAAAAAGCCAGAAGTGGTGCTGTGGCTCAAGTGGTAGAGCGCTAGCCTTGAGCTGAAGAGCTGAGGGACAGCGCCCAGGCCCAGAGTTCAGGCCCCACAACCAGCCAAAAAGAATCTCACAGACTTTCCTTCCCACACCAGCTCCTCACTGTGATCCTCAGATCTCAGCTTCCTGAGTAGCTGGGATTACAGGCATGAGCCATCAGCATGCTTGGCTTCATTTCTACCCTTCTAACCCCTTTCCAGGACTTCCTGGGCACCCAAGGGGCTAAGCCAACTATTGGGTTGCTGGGGAACAGACTGTGGAAGTAGGAGAGGACCGCTCCACCCACCCTCTTTTTTTTTTTTTTTTTTTTCAGTTGCTTGAACTCAGGGCCTGGGCTCTATCCCTGAGCCTTTCTTTAGTGCTCAAGGCTAGTGCTCTACCACTTTGAGCCACAGCACCACTTCCAGTTTTCTGGTGGTTCATTGGAGATAGCCAAGATTTTTCTGCCTGGGCTGGCTTTAAACCATCATCCTCAGATCTCAGCCTCCTGAGTAGTGTGGATTACAGGTGTGAGCCACCGGCGCCCAGCCCCTCTACCCCCTTGATTTCTCACATTTGCTCAGCAGCTGGAAGCTGGCACTGGACGGTTCCCATTTCTGTTCTGGCAAGGGCTCACAGTGGCTTCCTCCTTTAGAGAGGAACCTCTGTTATATCCTGGTAGCTTTACAAGACAATGTATCACATGACCTGCACCCCTCCCCCCCCAGCTCTGTCTCACCTGAGAAAACCAGAGAGGAAAAGGTCATGGCTTAAGATGATGTGTTCTGAAGCCCTTAGCCAAGTGGGACATCTTTGTTCACTCCTGCCCAGGTAAGGAGGGGACAGCTGGATAGAACTCTCCTGGGCTTGGAGCCTTCCTCCCCCTGGGTGTAATCCAGCTATCTGGAATGGGCTTGACCCCCAAGCCCTGCAGTCAGAGGGGTCTTATGATGACCTATGGCTCTAATTTTCTTTTCTTTTTTTTTTTTTTTTGTCAGTTGTAGGGCTTGAACTCAGGATCTGGGCACTGTCCCTGAGCTTTCTTCATCCTTCAAGGTTAACACGCTCCTACTTTGAGTCACAGCTCTACTTCTGGTTTTCTAGTGGTTTATTGGAGGTAAGAGTCTCATGGACTTTCCTGTCCAGGCTGGCTTTGAACCATGATCCTCTGATCTCAACCATCTTGAGTAGCTAGGGTTAGAGGTATGAGCCACCAGTGCCCAGCTGTCCTTTTCTTTTTTCCTAGTCCTGGGGTTTGAACTCAGGGCCTGGGTGCGGTCCCTGAGCTGCTTTTTCTCAAGGCTAACACTCTGCCACTTGAGCCACAGCACCACTGCTAACTTTTTCTGAGTAGTTTACTGGAGATAAGAGTCTCATGGGCTTTTTTGCCTTGACTAGCTTTGAACCATGATCCTCAGATCTCAGCCACCTGAGTAGCTAGGATGACAGGTCTGAGCCACTGGCACCCAGCAGTCCATTTTCCTTTCCTGCAAGTAGGGCAGAGACGATGCTTAGCTGATGGCCGGGCCCAGCAGTCTTTATTTATTGATGTATTTGTTTACTTCATTTTAAGGGGAGAGCCATTGCAATGAGTTAAGGAGTAAACCCACCCAGCCTACCCCACCTGAGCCAGCTCTAGAGACTAAAAAAAGAGCCCAGCTCAGTGCTGCCTCTCCAATAATATAAAAGCAGAGGTCGTGGGAACCACCCTCTTGGCACAGTCCAGGGAGCCCCACATCAGGCGCGGAGAGGCCTGAGGCAGGTTAATTAAAGTTAACTGAGTGAGAAAATAATTACAGAGACTGCAGAGGGAAGAAACCCAAAGCTGCAGTTTATACTTCTTGGCCCCAGAGCGTTGCTGAGAAGCAAGCTGGTCCTCAGGAATGTTTTTTCCAGGCAGGGAAGAAAAGAAGAAAGCTCTTTTTTAAAAAAAAAAAAATCTCTTTCTGCCTCACATTTCAGAGGCTAGACACAGTAGAAGACTACCCCATGGCAAGTCAGTGGAGCCAGGCACCGGTGACTCACCCCTGTCATCCTAGCTATTCAGGAGACTGAGATCTGAGGATCAAAGTTGAAAGCCAGACTGGGCAGGAAAGTCTGTGAAACTCTTTTCTCCAATAAACTAGCAAAAAAAAAAAGTCAGAAGTGGAGCTGAGGCTCAATTTGGTAGAGGACCAACGTTGAGTAAAAAAGCTAGAGTGTGCCCAGGTCCTGAGTTCAAGTCTTAGTAGCAATACCAAAACACCCAGACCCAGCTGTCTGGGTCCAGAAGAACCTTCTAATTGTGGTTAGAGGCTGCTGGGAGCAATCCTGGTGGCCTCAGTTTCCCTTTTGTGTACTGCTTCATTCCAAGGTAGACAAAGTCCCTGAAGACTCCTTGGATGGCCAATGGTACTGATGGAGATAAGAGGACAGAGGGACAGAGGGAAGTTCCCTCAAAAGGGAACCCGAGTCAGGCACTGGGAGCTCACACCTGTCACTCTAGCTACTTGGGAGATTTGAATATCACAGTTCAAAGCCAGCCCGAGCAAGAAAGTCCATGAGACTCTTATCTCAAAAAAAAAAAACGACTAAAAAAAGCCAGCGGTGGAACTGTGGCTCAAGTGGTAGAGCACTAGCTTTGAGCAAAAGCAGCTCAGGACAACACTCAGGGTCTGAGTTCAAAACCCAGGTCTGGCACCAGATCGAGAGAGAGAGAGAGAGAGAGAGAGAGAGAGAGAGAGAGAGCGCACCTGGTGAGAAGCTACTGTCCTGGCAATGGGTAGCAACAGCAATTCTTTCATCCTCCCTGGGCTTAAAAAATGGAAGGAAGGGCCAGGCACTGGGGGTTCACGCCTGTTACCCTAGCTACTCATGAAGCTGAGGTCTAAGTATCACAGTTCAAAGCCATCCCAGGCAGAAAAATCCCCATGAGACTCTTTTTTTGTCGGAGGTGGGGCCTGAATTCTGGGCCTGGGCACTGTCACTAAGCTCTTCAGCTCAAGGCTAGCGCTCTACCACTTGAGCCACAGCGCCACTTCCGGTTTTCTGGTGGTTTATTGGAGATAAGAGTCTCATGGTCTTTCCTGCCCAGGCTGGCTTTGAACACTGATCCTCAGATCTCAGCCTCCTGAGTAACTAGGCTTACAGGTGTGAGCCACCGGCACCAGGTTTCCATGAGACTCTTATCTCCAATGAACCACCAGAAAACTGGAAGTGGTGCTGTGTCTCAAGTGTAGACTGCTCGCCTTGAGCTGAAGAGCTGAGGGACAGTAGCCCAGGCCCAGAGTTCAAGCCCCACGACCGACAAAATAATAATAGTAATAAAAAGATGGAAGGCGCTCCAAGTGACACAGTGTCCTCAATACAGAATTCTCTGTCCCCCTCTGCCTGCAGACCTCAGCCTGATGGATGCCTGGTGTGAACAATGAAGGCAGAACGTGTCTCCCACACCGGAAAGGTGACCCCGGAACGTGCCCTGGATGACCCCACGACCCAAAACCATGCGGCTGACCTGCATGTTCTCATCTATTCTGCTGTTTGGAGCTGCCGGCCTCCTCCTCTTCATCAGCCTGCAGGACCCCACAGAGGTCGCCCCCCAGCAGGGGTCAGGTGAGCCAGACACATGATCCTCTCCTTCCTGCCCAAGGCCCAGGCCTCATGGCTTCCTTCATGTGCTGGGCTAGAAGATAGAGTTGAGAGCCCCCAAGCAAGCAGAAAAGGGGGTCCTGACACCTCCCAACACATAACACGCATGCACACACACACATACATACTGGTGGGCATCAGTGCCAGCAGAATGGGTTGTCTAATATGAAATCTCTAGCAACAGATGTTGGAGAAGCTGTCTTTCTGCCCATTCGGTTGTTGCCTTCCATGAAATTCTTTTTCTTCTTTTCTTTTCTTTCTTTCTTTCTTTTTTGTTCTTGTTGTTGTTGGTTGTGGGGCTTGAACTCTAGACCTGGGCGCTGTCCCTCAGCTCTTCAGCTCAAGGCTAGTGCTCTACCACTTGAGCCACAGCACCACTTCCAGCTTTTTCTGCTTATGTGGTGCTGATGAATCAAACCCTGGGCCTCAGGCATGCAAGGCAAGCACTCTACCACCCAGCCACCTTCCCAGCCCTCTTTTTCTTTTCTTTACTTGTGCTGTTCCTAAGACATGAACTCAGGGCCTAAGTGCTGTCCCTCAGTTTTGTTTTTTGCTTGCTTGGTTTTTGTTTTGTTCTTTTGCACAAGGCTGACATTCTACCATTTGAGCCACAGTTCCACTTCTGGCTTTTGTTGTTGCTCTTGTCGGTCCTGGGGCTTGAACTCAGGACCTGGGCACTGTCCATAAGCTCTTTTACTCAAAGCTAGCACTCTACCACATTAAGCCACAATGCCACTTCCAGTTTTTGAGTGGTTTATTGGAGATGAGAGTCTCATGGGGACTTTCTTGCCTGAGCTGGTTTTGAACTATGATTCTCAGATGTCAGCCTCCTGGGTAGCTATGATTACAGGCATGAGCCACAGGTGCCTGGCTGACTTCTGGCTTTTTTGTGTGATTCATTGGAGATTAAGAGTCTCATAGACTTTCCTAGCTAGGCTGGCGTTGAACTATGATCCTCAGATTTCAGTCTCCTGAGTAGCTAGGATGACAGCGATGAGTCACCAGCACCCGCCTCCCACCCCATCCTCACCCTGTCTGTGCCTTAAAACCCACTGGAGGAGAGATGCACCTGCCCCATACCCTGGGATGTGGTTCTGTTTCACAGCTGATGGATTATGGAAGGGAAGATTTGCAATCAGAGGTTTAGGCAGATAGATGTCTGTGCCACCCCTATCTGAACCAAAAGCCCCACCAAGATCTGGCAGCTGCTGCCAGAGGCCCTACAGCAGAAGAGGCCCAGGAAGCACAGATCCATCACGGGTAGTAAATGACAGGCAGCCGTGACGGCAGGCGGGTAGGTGATCTCTGGTCAAATTCCCACAGCTGGAGGCTGTCAAAAGTAGGTCTGGCTGTTTTCTGGCTTCTGAAGAAGCAAGTTCGGAGTGACGCAGTTGGCTCCTCTGGGGACTTTGTAACCTCTTGGGAGGCCTAGAAATAAATAGCAGGTGACAATGAGTCAGCTGTAGCCGAGCCCCACAAAGTGTGTAAGCTTTGGATAAAGGCAATGTGTACCTTTGTTGTGCGTTCAGTTGTGCGTGTGACTGGTGTCTGCACCATGTGAAAATTGCCAGAGAAAGGAGGCAGGAATGGCTCTGTGGCGTCCACTGGGAGAGACCCATTCTGGGATCGTGTTTTGGGTGATTCCCCCCTCCCCCCGCCCCCAACACATGGCTGGCGATGCTACATCCAAGTGGCCAAGTAGCTGCAGATTATTGTCAAGTCCTAAGACTTGAACTCAGGTTCTGGGTGCTATCTTTTGAGCTATCTTTCAGCTCAAGGATAGCTAGTGGAACCACAGTTCCACTTCTGGCTTTTTAGTTATTTGTTGGAGATTAAGCATCTCACAGACTTTTCTGCCCAGGGTGACTTTGAACCTTGATTCTCAGATCTCAGCTTCCTGAGAAGCTAGGATTACAGGCGTGAGCCACCAGTGCCCCAGCTGTTGGGGCCAGGTTATTATTCTTCAAGCCAGACAGTGCTGTGCTACATAGCTGCTCAAGCCCACAGATGTGAGGAGTGCAGGCTGGTGGTGTTTGTAGGACAGCCTGGTCTGGCCGGGTAGAGCTTGAGCCTCAGGCTGGCGCAATGTACAGGATGGCCCACGGTTAAAACAAGCATCCTGCTTGTGGTTCACGCCTGTAATCCTAACTCCTCAGGAGGCTGATTTCTGAGGATCGTGGTTCAAAGCTAGCCTGGGCAAGAAAGTCTGTGAGACTCTGATCTCCAATAAACCACCAAAAAAGTCAGAAATGGAGCTGTGGCTCAAGTAGTAAAGCAGTAGCCTTTAGCAAAAGAGCTGAGGGACAATACCCAGGCCCTGAGTTCAAATCCAAGACCAGCACACACACACACATACACACACACACACAAATGACAAACATCCTTGTCTACCTCTCTTCACAGATGAAGGAGGCAGGTGATGACCACAGTTGGATCTCTCGAGCCACTGTGCATCTGTTGCTCAATACTGGCGGGTCAGCCTTAGTGCGTTGACGTTATACGTCAATCACGTAATGCCAAATCCAGTCATAAAACTTTAAGTAATGCTTCCGTTACTTTCCCCTCCATAAAGTGCTCCTGACACAAGCTGTTTGTGTTGATTTGTTACTCTGCGTTTATTCTTTCCGTGTACTCCTTACAGCCGCCTAATTGTGAATTCGGTACCAAGAAAGCAATATCAAAGTAATTTTCCACAACATTAGTTACAATTTTCTTCTGATCTTTCAAGTGAAACAATCCCTATCCTGTTGGCTTCTCTGAGCGTATAAACTTTGATTACATTTATCTGTTGGAAATCAGTGCTTACAAAGTGTATGTGTCCAGTTACATGGCTGGGTGGGCCCTCCCATCCCCCCATCTTCCCTTACCTCTTCCCTCTCCCCCCCCCCCCCCCCCCGCCTCCCCCCGTACATTTTTTCCATGAGAAATCTATCGGAGGCATACATTTTCCCAGGCACAGGTTGTTATCTGGTCACAAAGGTGGGAAGAAGAGGATGGGCCTAACAAATCCATAAATCTCTTTGTTGCTTGTGGTCCCTTGGGTCTGATGTTGGTAAGCTATGACATCTGGATGTCTTAGTCCAGCCAGCCTACCTCACCGATGGACTTCAGCGTTGGGTACTATCCCTGAGCTCTTTTACTCAAGGCTAGCGCTCTACCACTTTGAGCCACAACACCACTTCCGGTTTTCTGGTGGGTCATTGGAGATAAGAATCCCACGGATTTTTCTGGTCCAGGTTGGCTTTGAATGGTTATCCTCAGATCTCAGCCTCCTGAGTGGCTAGGATTACAGGCGTAAGCCACCAGTGCCAGATTTGAGTTGCCAACTTTTGTAAGTGAGGAGAGAGATGTGTGTGTGTGTGTGTGTGTGTGTGTGTGTGTGTGTGTGTGTGTGTGTGTGTGTGTGTGTGTGTGTGTGTGTGTGTGTGTGTGTGCGTGCCTGCTCCTAATGAGGCTTGAACTAAGGGCTTGAATGTTGTCCCTTAGCTTTTTCCACTCAAGGCTGATGCTCTACCACTTGAGCCACAGCTCCACTTCTACCATTTCAGTAGTTAATTAGAGCTGAGAATCTCACAGATTTCCTGCCTGGGCTGAGTAGCTAGGATGTATGAACTACCCATGGCTATCTCAATTACCATAAAGTTATTTATCACTCCCAGGTCCTGAGGCCAATGAGCTTACTCCCCACACACACCTTTTTTGTTCTGGCAGTACTGGGATTTGAACTCATGACCTCATGCTCCCTCAGCTGACACTCTACCACTTGAGCCACACCTCGAGCCTAGCTTATGAGCCTTTTAAGTCTCTTTTCATCTGTCAGCTTGTCTTGTCATCTTTATTTTTTTTCCACTTGCTATTTATTTAAAGAAACCAGGTCATAGTCATATAGAGTTTCTCACAGTTGGGATTTTATTGATTGTCCTCATTTGATAGAGTTTCAATATGGTCCTTTTTTTTCTTTGCATTCTCTATAAATTAGGAAAATTTGGCTAATGGATGGACCTTTTTTTCTTTTTTTTCCCCTTTTTTTTTCAGTTGTGGGGCTTGAACTCAGGGCGTTAGTGCAGTCCCTGAGCTCAAGGCTCAAGGCTAGCACTCTATCATTTGAGTAACAACTCCACTTCCAGTTTTCTGGTGGTTTATTGGAGATAAGTCTCACAGGCTGGATGCCAGTAGCTCACACCTGAAATCCTAGCTACCTCAGGAGGCTGAGATCTGAGGATCGTGGTTCAAAGCCAGCCCCCGGCAGAAAAATCCATGAAACTCTTATCTCTAATAAACCACTCTGAAAACTGAAATGGCACTGTGGCTCAAGTGGTAGAGCGCTAGCCTTGAGCAGAAGAGCTGAGGGACAGCACCCAGGCCCAGAGTTCAAGCCCCAAGACTAAATAAATAAATAAGCGTCTCAAGGACTTTCCTGCACTGACTGAGTTCAAACCACAATTCTCAGATCTAGGCTTCCTGAGTAGCTGGGATTACTGGCCAGAGCTACCAGCACCCTGGTAGTTGGTTGTTTTTGTTTTCCATGGGTGTTTCTGCATTCTCCATCAGGAGTTGGTGTCTTTCCAGGTTTTCTTAGTGAGCTGTTATTGATCCATCCTCAATCAATCTTTCCATTTTTCCATTCAGGAGAAACCACACAATGACCTAGCTCTCATTTTGTTATTCCTTCCTTGCTGTTGTTGTTGTTTTTCAAATGGATTGGATTGTACTTTAAAGGGACCAAGTGAGTCTTGTGAGTGACTCTTGGTCCTTAAACAGTACTCCTTATAATGCAGATTCTGTTTTGCAAACACTATAGAATAGAATTTCTTCTTCTTCTTCTTTTTTTTTTTGGTCAGTCCTGGATCTTGGACTGGGGGCCTGGGCACTGTCCCTGAGTTCTTTTGCTCAAGGATAGCACTCTACCACATTGAACCACAGCACCACTTTCAGTTTTCTGCTGGTTCATTGGAGATAAGCCT